CATCACGATCAACCGGACGCTGCCTAGGACGTGAGCGCTCGCATCACGATCGATACCAGACGCTGTAGCAGAGTTATCTTTGCGCGCCGGGACGTGAGCGCTCGCTTCACGATCAACCGGACGCTGCCTGGGACGTGAGCGCTCGCATCACGATCGATACCAGACGCTGTAGCAGAGTTATCTTTGAGCGCCGGGACGTGAGCGCTCGCTTCACGATCAACCGGACGCTGCCTAGGACGTGAGCGCTCGCATCACGATCAACCGGACGCTGTCTGGGACGTGAGCACTCGCATCACGATCGATACCAGACGCTGTAGCAGAGTTATCTTTAAGCGCCGGGACGTGAGCGCTCGCTTCACGATCAACCGGACGCTGCCTGGGACGTGAGCACTCGCATCACGATCGATACCAGACGCTGTAGCAGAGTTATCTTTAAGCGCCGGGACGTGAGCGCTCGCTTCACGATCAACCGGACGCTGCCTGGGACGTGAGCGCTCGCATCACGATCGATACCAGACGCTGTAGCAGAGTTATCTTTGAGCGCCGGGACGTGAGCGCTCGCATCACGATCAACCGGACGCTGCAACAGGGTTATCTTTGAAGAAGTGTGTGCCGCCACCAGAATCTTATTGGTTCACTTACTTTGCTTTGTATTGCTTTGCTGGGAGCTTACGAGGAAGCCAGTAGCCGTTGTGCAGCCAGGATAGCGGACGCGTCTGGCCTGATGTAGGTGGAGAAAGCCGAAGAGGACCAGCGCCCCAGCTGTTGCAGAGAGGTGTGGGGGAGCCCCAGCGAGGCCGCGCGCGTGGCGGCGCCTATCCTGAAGGAGTGAGCTGTGTAGAGCTGGGGAGACAATTTACAGAGGAGCAGTAGGGATCTTAGTTGAGCTCTGAACCAGGTTGCTGTCATGGGAAGAATGTCTGGAGTGAGAAATAGAGGTCCGTTAAGATCTCCTTTTTGCAGTGGAGGCGAGTGTAATGCATAAAGGATTTGTAGGGGCAGAGAGATGTGTCCGAGCGAGCTATTACTATATTGCAGGCTCCTTTGATTTTTGAATGTTTGAGACGGAGGTTGAAATGGTCAGGGGACATTATGTTGGGTGAAAAAGAGCGACCTTTGTTTAATGCTTCCACTACGTCGAGATGATCACACATGACAGAGATCCTCTTTCTCTGCCACGTGTGATTCCACAGCGCGCAGGCCACGACCACTGGGAATATCTCGTGTAGGGCAGAGGAGATGCTCCGGTGGAAAGTAGCGGCCACGCTCGGCAAACCAATGGTCCTGGAAGAATCCCCCAAAACCCACGGAAGGGGCAGCGTCCGTGTAGAAGCGGAGACCTGTAGGGGCAGAGACATATCGGAGATGGCCATTGATGTTGCAGGCGCCCTTACGCTTAGAATCTTGGGTTGGAGAGTAGATAATCAGGATAGTAGCATGGTCGGGAAAGCCGTGTCTCGGACCGCATGAAGGTTGAGTGAGCAATGGTGAGACGCTTAGGATGGGCAGCGTGATGGGGAGCCTGCGATCAGAAGAGTGAAGAACACAGGTATGGATGCCTTTGATTAGGAGTCCGATTGACGGCTCAGCGCAGCTACTTGGCCAGCTGCATCTGATGGATCAGAAGATTAAGTATAGAGATGAAGCACGACCGCCGAAGCGACCCTGGGAGCATAGGTGCGAGTCCAGCGCAGCGCGGCATACTCAGTCGGGCTGCATCCATTAGAAGCAGGATAAGCTTCTGAGAGAGTGGGTTGCGGCAGCAGCAGTAGCAGCAGCAGCAGCGGCAGCAGCGTCCTTAGAAATAACAGTAATAATTCTGTATCTAAGCCACCGCAGTAAAATGTTGTAGCTGTTCAGTGTTTCAGTAAAAGAGATGCAAGTGAAGAGAGATGGCAAAGTAAATGAAGCAGCAGTAGTAGCAGCAGTAGCCGTATGAAGCAGCAGCAGTAGCAGTAGCAGTATGAAGCAGCAGCAGCAGTAGCAGCAGCAGCTGATGCAGCATCCGTAGATAATAACAGCAATAAACCTGTATCAAAGCCAGAGCAGTAGAATATTGTTGTAGCTGTTTAGTGTTTCAGTAAAAGAGATAAGAAGTGAAGAGAGATGTCAAAGTACATGAAGCAGCAGCAGCACGGCAGCAGATGCAGTATGAAGCAGCAGCGGCAGCAGTAGCAGCAGTAACGGTAGCAGCATGAAGCAGCAGAAGCAGCATTAGCAGGAGCAGCAGTAGCAGTATGAAGCAGCAGCAGTAGCAGCAGTATGAAGCAGCAGCAGCGGTTCCAGCATCCGTAGATAATAACAGCAAAATCCTGTATCAAAGCCACAGCAGTAGAATATTGTTGAAGCTGTTTAGTGTTTCAGTAAAAGAGATGCGAAGTGAAGAGAGGTGTCAAAGTAAAAGAAGCAGCAGCAGCACGGCAGCAGTAGCAGTATGAAGCAGCAGCGGCAGCAATAGCAGCATTAGCGGCAGCAGTAGCAGCAGTAGCGGTAGCAGTATGAAGCAGCAGAAGCAGCATTAGCAGGAGCAGTAGCACCACAATGCGATTCATACGAACAGCAGACGTGTCACGCCAGCGTGCGCCGCTTGTCTCCGTGAGCCAGGTTACATACGTGTCTGAAAGAGCTGAGCCGTAGAGACAGGTGCAGCCTGAGAGCCTGCGGAGCGGCAGCGGCAGGAACAGCAGCAGCGGCATATGTAGTAGTAGGAGCGGCAGGCAGCAGGGACAGGCAGCAGCAGGAGCGGCAGCAGGAACAGGCAGCAGCGGGAACAGGCAGCAGCGGGATTAGGCATCAGTAGGAACGGCAGCAGGGACCGCAGCAGCGGCGGTCAGAGAACCATGCCCATGGTTGTTTAACAGCCTGAGGAAATAAATCAACCCGAATCCGAAACATTCCCATGCGAATAACAGATGTCCCCTGGAGCCATCTTGCTGCTTTGGTTATGGTAGAACGCATGAACGATCACTTTTCCATGCGTTCATTAGCTCCAACTCCACTTCAAACCCATTGCAGATTCACATTGGGCCCTTTTTCTTTCTGCTGCACTTTCAAAATGCAACAACTGCAGTTTAGTTACCCAATTTAATACTAGTGACCTAGCTATTTAAATGCATGGCCCCTCCTTCCTCCTGCAGATAGACGAATTTAAATACATCCATTTAACAATAGTGACCTGCGAGTAATGAGATTAATGCTGTAAAGATGGCGCCGTGGCAAGAGTTCTGGTGTGTGCCGTCTGGAGCACGATGGATAGTCTTTGCACATATTTCCAACGTGGTGATAGGAATCAGACTCATGCAAATTGGGATCTTTGTACGACAAAGCCTCCTGGCTGGTTTATTCACAAAATGGTCGTTAATTTTCAGGCAGAACAAAAGACACAGATACATTATATATGGAAATCTACGTCATCATAGAAAAGGCCAAACCTTCGGCACAAATAGCCTAAACAACGAAAGTCTCTGTGGTCCTTGAGACCTCCACAAGGCCAGGTTATTAATACTATTTTGTCTTGCATTTGTCCACCTGTGCAGTACATAGGTCACTGTTTACCACAGTGGTTTTACTGCAAGTGGCAGAACATGAATCTGAATTATGCACATTGCTCCTCTTATATCCCTGACAATAGAGATTGATGCCATTTAATATGCATTGCCCCTCAGTTAGCTCAAACACGTGTGAAAATGGAGCCTGCAGACCAAGCACGGGGCGAAAACTGACGCCTGCAGTCAAGTGCGTAGGGCAAAAACCAGCCGCTTGCAGCCCAGACTCAGGGATTAATCCGTCCGCGGTCAACACACACACTGTACTCACATGCCAGGAGACTTGGGAAAAGCAACGGGACAACGCGGCACCGCCAATCGGAGGCAGGGACATGCACGGCACCGCCAGACCGTCTGCGCGCGGCAGCAGACCACGAGGAACGAGCAGCACAGAACCTGCAGAGGGGCCCCGCGGAGGGGCCCCGCGGATCAGCCCACAGAGGAGGAAAGCAGTGGAGACACGCGAACCATAGCAGGTGCAGGGACGCGGAGGAGGAGCAGACCACAAGCAGCCAGACTGAGGACAGCCGGGCCACGCGCACGAGCAACACGTGAGCAGAAGCGACCCCTCCAGAACAACGCATGCATTTGCGAACAGGTGCGTCAGCGACATGCACCTTGCAGGCTTCAGAAGTTTGCAAACTTCAGAAGACCGGGAAAGTGGGCGTCTCCGGCTTTTAACTTGCTGTCCTGGTGGTTATTGGTGGATTAGATGTGGGCGTTTTGCTGGTGTAATGAGTAGAGGATGAGCAGGCTTGTAGCAGCGCCGGGTCTACCACAGTGAACTTTCGCGAAGAGCTTCATTGATTGACTGCGGAACCTTCCGCAGTCAACCATTGGTTTTGTATTTGAGTGGCTGCATAGACTATGCAGCCACTATATGCTCTCCTACTGTTTATTGAGTGGCTGCATAGACTATGCAGCCACTATATGCTCTCCTACTGTTTATTGAGTGGCTGCATAGACTATGCAGCCACTATATGCTCTCCTACTGTTTATTCTTCTTCTTCCACTTCCGCCAGATTTTGGCACTTTTCAACTCTTCAACGCTTTCACCAAATTCAACAAATTATACATCGTTACGACCGGCTTCACCGTCTCATTATTGCTATTACTTTTCACACTTCCACCTTTAGCACTTTTTCAGATATTAACAAAAGTTCAAGCACTTTTTCCCATTGACTTACATTGGACCAGTACAACAGATTACTCCCCATACAACACATTACCACACTAACAATTCATTACCACAGAAACAATACATTACAACATCTTACAACACTTACAGCACCTTACAACACATTCAACACCTTACAACACATTTAGCACTTTACAACACATTCAACACCTTACAACACATTTAGCACTTTACAACACATTCAACACCTTACAACACATTCAGCACTTTACAACAAATTCAACACCTTACAACACATTCTTCTTACTTCATCTTCTTCACTTCTTCCCCTCCCTCCTCTTCTTCCCCTCCCTCCTCTTCTTCCCCTTCCTCCTCTTCTTCCTCTTCTTCCCCTTCTTCCCCTCCCTCCTCTTCTTCCCCTTCCTCCTCTTCTTCCTCTTCTTCCCCTTCTTCCTCTTCTTCCTCTTCTTCCTCTTCTTCCCCTTCTTCCTCTTCTTCCTCTTCTTCCTCCCCTTCTTCCCCTTCCACCTCTTCTTCCTCTTCTTCCCCTTCTTCCCCTTCCTCCTCTTCTTCCTCTTCTTCCCCTTCTTCCCCTTCCTCCTTTCTTCCTCTTCTTCCCCTTCTTCCTCTTCTTCCCCTTCTTCCTCATTTTCCTCATCTTCCTCTTCTTCCCCTTCTTCTTCTTCCTCCTCCTCTTCCCTCTTCTACCCTTTTCTTTCTTCTTCCTTCTTCCCCTTCCTCTTCCTTCTTCATCCCTAACCCTTCCAACATCTATGCAGCCACTCACAATGGCTTCAGCCATTGTACCATTTCTAGTTCTTCTTCTTCCACTTCCGCCAGATTTTGGCACTTTTCAACTCTTCAACGCTTTCACCAAATTCAACAAATTATACATCGTTACGACCGGCTTCACCGTCTCATTATTGCTATTACTTTTCACACTTCCACCTTTTGCACTTTTTCAGATATTAACAAAAGTTCAAGCACTTTTTCCCATTGACTTACATTGGACCAGTACAACAGATTACTCCCCATACAACACATTACCACACTAACAATTCATTACCACAGATACAATACATTACAACATCTTACAACACTTACAGCACCTTACAACACTTACAGCACTTTACAACACTTACAGCACTTTACAACACATTTAGCACTTTACAACAAATTCAACACCTTACAACACATTTAGCACTTTACAACACCTTAGAACACATTCAGCACTTTACAACACATTCTTCTTACTTCATCTTCTTCACTTCTTCCTCTTCTTCCCCTTCTTCCCCTTCTTCCTCTTCTTCCTCTTCTTCCCCTTCTTCCTCCTCTTCCTCTTCTTCCCCTTCTTCCTCTTCTTTCCCTTCTTCCTCTTCTTCCCCTTCTTCTTATTCTTCCCCTTCTTCTTCTTCCTCCTCCTCTTCCTTCTTTCCTCTTCTTCCCTTTTCTTTCTTCTTCCTTCTTCTTCCCCTTCCTCTTCCTTCTTCATCCCTAACCCTTCCAACATCTATGCAGCCACTCACAATGGCTTCAGCCATTGTACCATTTCTAGTTGAGTGGCTGCATAGACTATGCAGCCACTATATGCTCTCCTACTGTTTATTCTTCTTCTTCCACTTCCGCCAGATTTTGGCACTTTTCAACTCTTCAACGCTTTCACCAAATTCAACAAATTATACATCGTTACGACCGGCTTCACCGTCTCATTATTGCTATTACTTTTCACACTTCCACCTCTAGCACTTTTTCAGATATTAACAAAAGTTCAAGCACTTTTTCCCATTGACTTACATTGGACCAGTACAACAGACTAGAAATGGTACAATGGCTGAAGCCATTGTGAGTGGCTGCATAGATGTTGGAAGGGTTAGGGATGAAGAAGGAAGAGGAAGGGGAAGAAGGAGGAAGAAGGAAGAAGTTGAAAGAAATGAAAGAAGAAAGAAGAAGAAGAAAGAAAAGGGAAAGAGGAAAGACGAAGAAGAGGAAGTGGAAGAAGAAGGAGGAGGGAGGAAGAGGAAGCGGAAGAAGGAGGAAGAAGAGGAAGAAGGGGGAGAAGGGGAAGAAAGGGTAGAAGGGGAAAAAGAGGAAGAAGGGGAAGAGGTAGAAGGGAAAGAAGGGGAAGAAGAGGAAGAAGGGGAAGAAGAGGAAGAAGGGGAAGAAGAGGTAGAAGGGGAAGAAGAGTAAAGTGCTAAATGTGTTGTAAGGTGCTGAATGTGTTGGAAAGTGTTGAATGTGTTGTAAAGTGAAGGGAAGAAGAGGAAAGAAGAAGAAGAGGAAGAGGAAGAAGAAGGAGGAGGGAGGAAGAGGAAGCGGAAGAAGGAGGAAGAAGAGGAAGAAGGGGAAGAAGGGGGAGAAGGGGAAGAAAGGGAAGAAGGGGAAGAAGAGGAAGAAGGGGAAGAAGAGGAAGAAAGGGAAGAAGAGGAAGAAGGGAAAGAAGAGGTAGAAGGGGAAGAAGAGTAAAGTGCTAAATGTGTTGTAAGGTGTTGAATGTGTTGTAAAGTGCTAAATGTGTTGTAAGGTGTTGAATTTGTTGTAAAGTGCTAAATGTGTTGTAAGGTGTTGAATTTGTTGTAAAGTGCTAAATGTGTTCTAAAGTGTTGAATTTGTTGTAAAGTGCTAAATGTGTTGAATTTGTGTTAAAGTACTAAATGTGTTGTAAGGTGTTGAATGTGTTTTAAAGTGCTAAATGTGTTGTAAGGTGTTTAATTTGTTGTAAGGTGCTGAATGTGTTGTAAGGTGTTGAATTTGTTGTAAAGTGCTAAATGTGTTGTAAGGTGTTGAATTTGTTGTAAAGTGCTAAATGTGTTGTAAGGTGTTGAATTTGTTGTAAAGTGCTAAATGTGTTGTAAGGTGCTGTAAGTGTTGTAAGATGTTGTAATGTATTGTATCTGTGGTAATGAATTGTTAGTCTGGTAATGTGTTGTATGGGGAGTAATCTGTTGTACTGGTCCAATGTAAGTCTATGGGAAAAAGTGCTTGAACTTTTGTTAATATCTGAAAAAGTGCTAAAGGTGGAAGTGTGAAAAGTAATAGCAATAATGAGACGGTGAAGCCGGTCGTAACGATGTATAATTTGTTGAATTTGGTGAAAGCGTTGAAGAGTTGAAAAGTGCCAAAATCTGGCGGAAGTGGAAGAAGAAGAAGAAGAAGAAGAAGAAGAATAAACAGTAGGAGAGCATATAGTGGCTGCATAGTCTATGCAGCCACTCAACTAGAAATGGTACAATGGCTGAAGCCATTGTGAGTGGCTGCATAGATGTTGGAAGGGTTAGGGATGAAGAAGGAAGAAGAAAGAAGAGGAAAGAAGAAGAAGGAAGAGGAGGAGAAAGAAGAAGGGGAAGAAGAAGGGGAAGAAGGGGAAGAAGGGGAAGAAGAGGAAGAAGAGGAAGAAGAGGAAGAAGAGGAAGAAGAGGAAGAAGGGGAAGAAGGGGAAGAAGAGGAAGAAGAGGAAAAAGGGGAAGAAGGGGAAGAAGAGGAAGAAGAGAAAGAAGAGAAAGAAGGGGAAGAAGAGGAAGAAGTGAAGAAGATGAAGTAAGAAGAATGTGTTGTAAGGGGCTGAAAGTGTTGTAAAGTGCTAAATGTGTTGTAAGGTGTTGTAAAGTGCTAAATGTGTTGTAAGGTGTTGTAAAGTGCTAAATATGTTGTAAAGTGCTTAATGTGTTGTAAAGTGCTAAATGTGATGTAAAGTGCTAAATGTGATGTAAAGTGCTGAATGTGTTGTAAAGTGCTAAATGTGTTGTAAAGTGCTGAATGTGTTGTAAAGTGCTTAATGTGTTGTAAAGTGCTTAATGTGTTGTAAAGTGCTAAATGTGTTGTAAGGTATTGAATGTTTTGTAAAGTGCTAAATGTGTTGTAAAGTGTTGAATGTGTTGTAAAGTGCTAAATGTGTTGTAAGGTGTTGAATTTGTTGTAAAGTGCTAAATGTGTTGTAAGGTGTTGAATTTGTTGTAAAGTGCTAAATGTGTTGAATTTTTGTTAAAGTGCTAAATGTGTTGTAAGATGTTGAATGTGTTGTAAGGTGCTAAATGTGTTGTAAGGTGTTGAATTTGTTGTAAGGTGCTAAATGTGTTGTAAAGTGCTAAATGTGTTGTAATGTGTTGAATGTGTTGTAAAGTGCTAAATGTGTTGTAAGGTGTTGAATTTGTTGTAAAGTGCTGAATGTGGAGTAAGGTGTTGAATTTGTTGTAAAGTGCTAAATGTGTTGAATTTTTGTTAAAGTGCTAAATGTGTTGTAAGATGTTGAATGTGTTGTAAGGAGCTAAATGTGTTGTAAGGTGCTAAATGTGTTGTAAGGTGTTGAATTTGTTGTAAGGTGTTGAATGTGTTGTAAAGTGCTAAATGTGTTGTAAGGTGTTGAATTTGTTGTAAGGTGCTGAATGTGTTGTAAGGTGTTGAATTTGTTGTAAAGTGCAAAATTTGTTTTAAGTTGTTGAATTTGTTGTAAAGTGCTAAATGTGTTGTAAGGTGTTGAATGTGTTGTAAAGTGCTAAATGTGTTGTAAGGTGTTGAATTTGTTGTAAGGTGCTGAATGTGTTGTAAGGTGTTGAATTTGTTGTAAAGTGCTAAATGTGTTGTAAGGTGTTGAATTTGTTGTAAGGTGCTAAATGTGTTGTAAGGTGTTGAATTTGTTGTAAAGTGCTAAATGTGTTGTACGGTGCTATAAGTGTTGTAAGATGTTGCAATGTATTGTATCTGTGGTAATGAATTGTTAGTGTGGTAATGTGTTGTATGGGGAGTAATCTGTTGTACTGGTCCAATGTAAGTCAATGGGAAAAAGTGCTTGAACTTTTTGATTGACTGCGGAACCTTCCGCAGTCAACCATTGGTTTTGTATTTCTTTATTCCGTCATTTTTTTTGACACGTTTCACAGCTTTCACATTTTCAACAATTTCCACAAGTTATACATCAAAACGTTCCACATGTTTGGGAGATTATTGCTATTACTTTTGGGACTTCAGCGATTTCCGGTTTTTCCGCAATCGGACAAAAATCTGCATTGAGAATTCTGCAATGCATTTTAATAGGCCCATGCATTTTAATAGGACTTCAGCTCTTTCAGACATTTCTACAGTTTCAATGATTCAACAGTTTCAAGGATTCAACAGTTTCAAGGATTTCAGCAGTTTCAAGATTTCAAGAGTTTCAAGGACTTCAACAGTTTCAAGGACTTCAGCAGTTTCAAGGACTTCAGCAGTTTCAAGGACTTCAGCAGTTTCAAGGACTTCAGTGTAATCATGCAACCTAATAGGGATTTTTCCATGTAAACCAGTATAATGCAACTTAATAGGGATTTTTCCATGTAAACCAGTATAATGCAACTTAATAGGGATTTTTCCATGTAAACCAGTATAATGCAACTTAATAGGGTTTTTTTCATGTAAACCAGTATAATGCCACTTAATAGGGTTTTTTTCATGTAAACCAGTATAATGCAACTTAATGGGGATTTTTCCATGTAAACCAGTATAATGCAACTTAATAGGGGTTTTTACATGTAAACCAGTATAATGCAACTTAATAGGGGTTTTTTACATGTAAACCAGTATAATGGAACTTAATAGGGTTTTTTACATGTAAACCAGTATAATGGAACTTAATAGGGGTTTTTACATGTAAACCAGTATAATGGAACTTAATAGGGGTTTTTACATGTAAACCAGTATAATGCAACTTAATAGGGATTTTTACATGTAAACCAGTATAATGCAACTTAATAGGGATTTTTCCATGTAAACCAGTATAATGCAACTTAATAGGGTTTTGTACATGTAAACCAGTATAATGCAACTTAATGGGGATTTTTCCATGTAAACCAGTATAATGCAACTTAATAGGGTTTTTTACATGTAAACCAGTATAAAGGATAACAGTTTAAAGGATATCAGGAGCTTCAAATACTTCAGGAGTTTCAAAGATGTTTAAAGTATTTTAACAGTTTCAAGGATTTCAAGGATTTTTCAGCTAAATTCCACATTAGATCTGTTCCGCAGTCAATCGCAATGGCTTCAGCCATTGCAACGGTTTCTAGTGTTAATATCTGAAAAAGTGCTAAAGGTGGAAGTGTGAAAAGTAATAGCAATAATGAGACGTTGAAGCCGGTCGTAACGATGTATAATTTGTTGAATTTGGTGAAAGCGTTGAAGAGTTGAAAAGTGCCAAAATCTGGCGGAAGTGGAAGAAGAAGAAGAAGAATAAACAGTAGGAGAGCATATAGTGGCTGCATAGTCTATGCAGCCACTCAATAAACAGTAGGAGAGCATATAGTGGCTGCATAGTCTATGCAGCCACTCAACTAGAAATGGTACAATGGCTGAAGCCATTGTGAGTGGCTGCATAGATGTTGGAAGGGTTAGGGATGAAGAAGGAAGAGGAGGAGAAAGAAGAAGGGGAAGAAGAAAGAAAAGGGAAGAAGAGGAAAGAAGAAGAAGGAAGAGGAGGAGGAAGAAGAAGGGAAAGAAGGGGAAGAAGAAGGGGAAGAAGGGGAAGAAGAGGAAGAAGGGGAAGAAGAGGAAGAAGAGGAAGAAGAGGAAGAAGAGGAAGAAGGGGAAGAAGAGGAAGAAGTGAATAAGATGCAGTAAGAAGAATGTGTTGTAAGGGGCTGAAAGTGTTGTAAAGTGCTAAATGTGTTGTAAAGTGCTGAATGTGTTGTAAAGAGCTAAATGTGTTGTAAAGTGCTAAATGTGTTGTAAAGTGCTGAATGTGTTGTAAAGTGCTGAATGTGTTGTAAAGTGCTGAATGTGTTGTAAAGTGCTTAATGTGTTGTAAAGTGCTAAATGTGTTGTAAAGTGCTGAATGTGTTGTAAAGTGCTAAATGTGTTGTAAAGTGCTAAATTTGTTGTAAGGTGTTGAATTTGTTGTAAAGTGCTAAATGTGTTGTAAGGTATTGAATTTGTTGTAAGGTATTGAATGTTTTGTAAAGTGCTAAATGTGTTGTAAGGTGTTGAATGTGTTGTAAAGTGCAAAATGTGTTGTAAGGTGTTGAATTTGTTGTAAAGTGCTAAATGTGTTGTAAGGTGTTGAATGTGTTGTAAAGTGCTAAATGTGTTAAAGTGCTGAATGTGTTGTAAAGTGCTAAATGTGTTGTAAAGTGCTAAATGTGTTGTAAGGTGTTGAATGTGTTGTAAAGTGCTAAATGTGTTGTAAGGTGTTGAATTTGTTGTAAAGTGCTAAATGTGTTGTAAGGTGTTGAATGTGTTGTAAAGTGCTAAATGTGTTGTAAGGTGTTGAATTTGTTGTAAGGTGCTGAATGTGTTGTAAGGTGTTGATTTTGTTGTAAAGTGCTAAATGTGTTGTAAGGTGTTGAATGTGTTGTAAAGTGCTAAATGTGTTGTAAGGTGTTGAATTTGTTGTAAGGTGCTGAATGTGTAGTAAGGTGTTGAATTTGTTGTAAATTGCTAAATGTGTTGAATTTTTGTTAAAGTGCTAAATGTGTTGTAAGGTGTTGAATGTGTTGTAAAGTGCTAAATGTGTTGTAAGATGTTGAATGTGTTGTAAGGTGCTAAATGTGTTGTAAGGTGTTGAATTTGTTGTAAGGTGTTGAATGTGTTGAATGTGTTGTAAAGTGCTAAATGTGTTGTAAGGTGTTGAATGTGTTGTAAAGTGCTAAATGTGTTGTAAGGTGTTGAATTTGTTGTAAGGTGCTGAATGTGTTGTAAGGTGTTGAATTTGTTGTAAAGTGCTAAATGTGTTGTAAGGTGTTGAATGTGTTGTAAATTGCTAAATGTGTTGTAAGGTGTTGAATGTGTTGTAAAGTGCTAAATGTGTTGTAAGGTGTTGAATTTGTTGTAAGGTGCTGAATGTGTTTTAAGGTGTTGAATTTGTTGTAAAGTGCTAAATGTGTTGTAAGGTGTTGAATTTGTTGTAAAGTGCTAAATGTGTTGTAAGGTGTTGAATGTGTTGTAAAGTGCTAAATGTGTTGTAAGGTGTTGAATTTGTTGTAAGGTGCTGAATGTGTTGTAAGGTGTTGAATTTGTTGTAAAGTGCTAAATGTGTTGTAAGGTGTTGAATTTGTTGTAAAGTGCTAAATGTGTTGTAAGGTGTTGAATGTGTTGTAAAGTGCTAAATGTGTTGTAAGGTGCTGTAAGTGTTGTAAGATGTTGTAATGTATTGTATCTGTGGTAATGAATTGTTAGTGTGGTAATGTGTTGTATGGGGAGTAATCTGTTGTACTGGTCCAATGTAAGTCTATGGGAAAAAGTGCTTGAACTTTTGTTAATATCTGAAAAAGTGCTAAAGGTGGAAGTGTGAAAAGTAATAGCAATAAAGAGACGGTGAAGCCGGTCGTAACGATGTATAATTTGTTGAATTTGGTGAAAGCGTTGAAGAGTTGAAAAGTGCCAAAATCTGGCGGAAGTGGAAGAAGAAGAAGAAGAAGAAGAAGAAGAATAAACAGTAGGAGAGCATATAGTGGCTGCATAGTCTATGCAGCCACTCAATAAACAGTAGGAGAGCATATAGTGGCTGCATAGTCTATGCAGCCACTCAATAAACAGTAGGAGAGCATATAGTGGCTGCATAGTCTATGCAGCCACTCAACTAGAAATGGTACAATGGCTGAAGCCATTGTGAGTGGCTGCATAGATGTTGGAAGGGTTAGGGATGAAGAAGGAAGAAGAAGGGGAAGAAGAAGGAAGAAGAAGAAGAGGAAAGAAGAAGAAGGAAGAGGAGGAGGAAGAAGAAGAAGAAGAAGAAGGGGAAGAAGAGGAGGAAGGGGAAGAAGAGGAAGAAGGGGAAGAAGAGGAAGAAGAGGAAGAAGAGGAAGAAGGGGAAGAAGAGGAAGAAGAGGAAGAAAGGGAAGAAGGGGAAGAAGGGGAAGAAGAGGAAGAAGGGGAAGAAGAGGAAGAAGAGGAAGAAGGGGAAGAAGAGGAAGAAGAGGAAGAAGAGAAAGAAGGGGAAGAAGAGGAAGAAGTGAAGAAGATGAAGTAAGAAGAATGTGTTGTAAGGGGCTGAAAGTGTTGTAAAGTGCTAAATGTGTTGTTAGGTGTTGAATTTGTTGTAAAGTGCTAAATGTGTTGTAAGGTGTTGAATTTGTTGTAGGGTGCTAAATGTGTTGTAAGGTGTTGAATGTGTTGTAAAGTGCTAAATGTGTTGTAAGGTGTTGAATTTGTTGTAAAGTGCTAAATGTGTTGTAAGGTGTTGAATGTGTTGTAAAGTGCTAAATGTGTTGTAAGGTGCTGTAAGTGTTGTAAGATGTTGTAATGTATTGTATCTGTGGTAATGAATTGTTAGTGTGGTAATGTGTTGTATGGGGAGTAATCTGTTGTACTGGTCCAATGTAAGTCAATGGGAAAAAGTGCTTGAACTTTTGTTAATATCTGAAAAAGTGCTAAAGGTGGAAGTGTGAAAAGTAATAGCAATAATGAGACGGTGAAGCCGGTCGTAACGATGTATAATCTGTTGAATTTGGTAAAAGCGTTGAAGAGTTGAAAAGTGACAAAATCTGGCGGAAGTGGAAGAAGAAGAAGAAGAACTAGAAATGGTACAATGGCAGAAGCCATTGTGAGTGGCTGCATAGATGTTGGAAGGGTTAGGGATGAAGAAGGAAGAGGAAGGGGAAGAAGAAGGAAGAATAAGAAAGAAAAGGGAAGAAGAGGGAAGAAGAAGAAAGAAGAAGGGGAAGAAGGGGAAGAAGAAGAAGAAGAGGAAGAAGGGGAAGAAGGGGAAGAAGGGGAAGAAGAGGAAGAAGAGGAAGAAGAGAAGGAAGAGAAGAAGGGGAAGAAGGGGAAGAAGAAGAAGAAGGGGAAGAAGGGGAAGAAGAGGAAGAAGGGGAAGAAGGGGAAGAAGAGGAAGAAGAGGAAGAAGAGAAGAAGGGGAAGAAGGGGAAGAAGAGAAGAAGAGAAAGGGGAAGAAGGGGAAGAAGTGAAGAAGAATGTGTTGTAAAGTGCTGAATGTGTTGTGAAGTGCTGTAAGTGTTGTGAGGTGCTGAATGTGTTGTAAGGTGCTGTAAGTGTTGTAAGGTGCTGAATTTGTTGTAAGGTGCTGTAAGTGTTGTAAAGTGCTAAATGTGTTGTAAAGTGCTAAATGTGTTGTAAGGTGTTGAATTTGTTGTAAAGTGCTGTGTTGTAATGCTGTTGTAAAGTGCTAAATGTGTTGTAAGGTGCTGAATGTGTTGTAAAGTGCTAAATGTGTTGTAAGGTGTTGAATGTGTTGTAAGGTGCTAAATGTGTTGTAAGGTGTTGAATTTGTTGTAAAGTGCTAAATGTGTTGTAAGGTGTTGAATTTGTTGTAAAGTGCTAAATGTGTTGTAAGGTGTTGAATTTGTTGTAAGGTTTAAATTTGTTGTAAAGTGCTAAATGTGTTGTAAGGTGTTGAATGTGTTGTAAAGTGCTAAATGTGTTGTAAGGTGTTGAATTTGTTGTAAGGTGCTGAATGTGTTGTAAGGTGTTGAATTTGTTGTAAAGTGCTAAATGTGTTGTAAGGTGTTGAATTTGTTGTAAAGTGCTAAATGTGTTGTAAGGTGTTGAATGTGTTGTAAAGTGCTAAATGTGTTGTAAGGTGTTGAATTTGTTGTAAAGTGCTAAATGTGTTGTAAGGTGTTGAATGTGTTGTAAAGTGCTAAATGTGTTGTAAGGTGTTGAATGTGTTGTAAAGTGCTAAATGTGTTGTAAGGTGTTGAATGTGTTGTAAAGTGCTAAATGTGTTGTAAGGTGTTGAATATTGAATGTTTTGTAAAGTAATAAATGTGTTGTAAAGTGCTAAATGTGTTGTAAGTTGTTGAATTTGTTGTAAAGTGCTAAATGTGTTGTAAGGTGTTGAATGTGTTGTAAAGTGCTAAATGTGTTGTAAGGTGTTGAATGTGTTTTAAAGTGCTAAATGTGTTGTAAGGTGTTGAATGTGTTGTAAAGTGCTAAATGTGTTGTAAGGTGTTGAATTTGTTGTAAGGTGCTGAATGTGTTGTAAGGTGTTGAATTTCTTGTAAGGTGCTAAATGTGTTGTAAAGTGCTGAATGTGTTGTAAAGTGCTACATGTGTTGTAAAGTGCTAAATGTGTTGAAAGGTGTTGAATTTGTTGTAAAGTGCTAAATGTGTTGTAAGGTGTTGAATTTGTGTTAAAGTGCTAAATGTGTTGTAAGGTATTGAATTTGTTGTAAGGTGCTGAATGTGTAGTAAGGTGTTGAATTTGTTGTAAAGTGCTAAATTTGTTGAATTTTTGTTAAAGTGCTAAATGTGTTGTAAGGTGTTGAATGTGTTGTAAAGTGCTAAATGTGTTGTAAGATGTTGAATTTGTTGTAAGGTGCTAAATGTGTTGTAAGGTGTTGAATTTGTTGTAAGGTGTTGAATGTGTTGTAAGGTGTTGAATTTGTTTTAAGGTGTTGAATGTGTCGTAAAGTGCTAAATGTGTTGTAAGATGTTGAATGTGTTGTAAGGTGCTAAATGTGTTGTAAGGTGTTGAATTTGTTGTAAGGTGTTGAATGTGTTGTAAAGTGCTAAATGTGTTGTAAGGTGTTGAATTTGTTGTAAGGTGTTGAATGTGTTGTAAAGTGCTAAATGTGTTGTAAGGTGTTGAATGTGTTGTAAAGTGCTAAATGTGTTGTAAGGTGTTGAATTTGTTGTAAGGTGCTGAATGTGTTGTAAGGTGTTGAATTTGTTGTAAAGTGCTAAATTTGTTTTAAGGTGTTGAATTTGTTGTAAAGTGCTAAATGTGTTGTAAGGTGTTGAATGTGTTGTAAAGTGCTAAATGTGTTGTAAGGTGTTGAATTTGTTGTAAGGTGCTAAATGTGTTGTACGGTGTTTAATTTGTTGTAAAGTGCTAAATGTGTTGTAAGGTGTTGAATGTGTTGTAAAGTGCTAAATGTGTTGTAAGGTGTTGAATGTGTTGTAAAGTGCTAAATGTGTTGTAAGGTGTTGAATGTGTTGTAAAGTGCTAAATGTGTTGTAAGGTGTTGAATGTGTTGTAAAGTGCTAAATGTGTTGTAAGGTGTTGAATTTGTTGTAAGGTGCTGAATGTGTTGTAAAGTGCTGAATGTGTTGTAAAGTGCTACATGTGTTGTAAAGTGCTAAATGTGTTGAAAGGTGTTGAATTTGTTGTAAAGTGCTAAATGTGTTGTAAGGTGTTGAATTTGTGTTAAAGTGCTAAATGTGTTGTAAGGTATTGAATTTGTTGTAAGGTGCTGAATGTGTAGTAAGGTGTTGAATTTGTTGTAAAGTGCTAAATTTGTTGAATTTTTGTTAAAGTGCTAAATGTGTTGTAAGGTGTTGAATGTGTTGTAAAGTGCTAAATGTGTTGTAAGATGTTGAATTTGTTGTAAGGTGCTAAATGTGTTGTAAGGTGTTGAATTTGTTGTAAGGTCTTGAATGTGTTGTAAGGTGTTGAATTTGTTTTAAGGTGTTGAATGTGTCGTAAAGTGCTAAATGTGTTGTAAGATGTTGAATGTGTTGTAAGGTGCTAAATGTGTTGTAAGGTGTTGAATTTGTTGTAAGGTGTTGAATGTGTTGTAAAGTGCTAAATGTGTTGTAAGGTGTTGAATTTGTTGTAAGGTGTTGAATGTGTTGTAAAGTGCTAAATGTGTTGTAAGGTGTTGAATGTGTTGTAAAGTGCTAAATGTGTTGTAAGGTGTTGAATTTGTTGTAAGGTGCTGAATGTGTTGTAAGGTGTTGAATTTGTTGTAAAGTGCTAAATTTGTTTTAAGGTGTTGAATTTGTTGTAAAGTGCTAAATGTGTTGTAAGGTGTTGAATGTGTTGTAAAGTGCTAAATGTGTTGTAAGGTGTTGAATTTGTTGTAAGGTGCTGAATGTGTAGTAAGGTGTTGAATTTGTTGTAAAGTGCTAAATGTGTTGAAGTTTTGTTAAAGTGCTAAATGTGTTGTAAGGTGTTGAATGTGTTGTAAAGTGCTAAATGTGTTGTACGGTGTTGAATTTGTTGTAAAGTGCTAAATGTGTTGTAAGGTGTTGAATTTGTTGTACGGTGTTGAATTTGTTGTAAAGTGCTAAATGTGTTGTAAGGTGTTGAATGTGTTGTAAAGTGCTAAATGTGTTGTAAGGTGTTGAATTTTTTGTAAGGTGCTGAATGTGTTGTAAGGTGTTGAATTTGTTGTAAAGTGCTAAATGTGTTCTAAGGTGTTGAATTTGTTGTAAAGTGCTAAATGTGTTAAGGTGTTGAATGTGTTGTAAAGTGCTAAATGTGTTGTAAGGTGTTGAATTTGTTGTAAGGTGCTGAATGTGTTGTAAGGTGTTGAATTTGTTGTAAAGTGCTAAATGTGTTGTAAGGTGTTGAATTTGTTGTAAAGTGCTAAATGTGTTGTAAGGTGTTGAATTTGTTGTAAAGTGCTACATGTGTTGTAAGGTGCTGTGAGTGTTGTAAGATGTTGTGATGTATTGTATCTGTGGTTATGAATTGTTAGTGTGGTAATGTGTTGTATGGGGAGTAATCTGTTGTACTGGTCCAATGTAAGTCTATGGGAAAAAGTGCTTGAACTTTTGTTAATATCTGAAAAAGTGCTAAAGGTGGAAGTGTGAAAAGTAATAGCAATAATGAGACGGTGAAGCCGGTCGTAACGATGTATAATTTGTTGAATTTGGTGAAAGCGTTGAAGAGTTGAAAAGTGCCAAAATCTGGCGGAAGTGGAAGAAGAAGAAGAAGAAGAAGAAGAAGAACTAGAAATGGTACAATGGCTGAAGCCATTGTGAGTGGCTGCATAGATGTTGGAAGGGTTAGGGATGAAGAAGGAAGAGGAAGGGGAAGAGGAAGGAAGAAGAAAGAAAAGGGAAGAAGAGGAAAGAAGAAGAAGGAAGAGGAGGAGGAAGAAGAAGAAGGGGAAGAAGAAGAAGAAGGTGAAGAAGAGGAAGAAGGGGAAGAAGAGGAAGAAGGGGAAGAAGAGGAAAAAGGGGAAGAAGAGGAAGAAGAGGAATAAGGGGAAGAACAGGAAGAAGAGGAAGAAGGGGAAGAAGAGGAAAAAGGGGAAGAAGAGGAAGAAGGGGAAGAACAGGAAGAACAGGAAGAAGGGGAAGAAGGGGAAGAAGAGGAAGAAGGGGAAGAAGAGGAAAAAGGGGAAGAAGAGGAAAAAGGGGAAGAAGAGGAAGAAGAGGAATAAGGGGAAGAACAGGAAGAAGAGGAAGAAGGGGAAGAAGAGGAAAAAGGGGAAGAAGAGGAAGAAGGGGAAGAACAGGAAGAACAGGAAGAAGGGGAAGAAGGGAAAGAAGAGGAAGAAGTGAAGAAGTAAGAAGAATGTGTTGTAAGGGACTGAAAGTGTTGTAAAGTGCTGAATGTGTTGTAAAGTGCTAAATGTGTTGTAAAGTGCTAAATGTGTTGTAAAGTGCTAAATGTGTTGTAAAGTGCTAAATGTGTTGTAAGGTGTTGAATGTGTTGTAAAGTGCTAAATGTGTTGTAAAGTGCTGAATTTGTTGTAAAGTGCTAAATGTGTTGTAAGGTGTTGAATTTGTTGTAAAGTGCTAAATGTGTTGTAAGGTGTTGAATTTGTTGTAAAGTGCTAAATGTGTTGTAAGGTGTTGAATGTGTTGTAAAGTGCTAAATGTGTTGTAAGGTGTTGAATGTGTTGTAAAGTGCTAAATGTGTTGTAAGGTGTTGAATTTGTTGTAAGGTGCTAAATGTGTTGTAAGGTGTTGAATTTGTTGTAAAGTGCTAAATGTGTTGTAAGGTGTTGAATTTGTTGTAAAGTGCTAAATGTGTTGTAAGGTGTTGAATGTGTTGTAAAGTGCTAAATGTGTTGTAAGGTGTTGAATGTGTTGTAAAGTGCTAAATGTGTTGTAAGGTGTTGAATTTGTTGTAAGGTGCTGAATGTGTTGTAAGGTGTTGAATTTGTTGTAAAGTGCTAAATGTGTTGTAAGGTGTTGAATTTGTTGTAAAGTGCTAAATGTGTTGTAAGGTGTTGAATGTGTTGTAAAGTGCTAAATGTGTTGTAAGGTGTTGAATGTGTTGTAAAGTGCTAAATGTGTTGTAAGGTGTTGAATGTGTTGTAAAGTGCTAAATGTGTTGTAAGGTGTTGAATGTTGTTGTAAAGTGCTAAATGTGTTGTAAGTGTATGTGTGAAATGTTGTAAAGTGTAAATGTGTTGTAAGTTGAATGTTGTTGTAAAGTGCTAAATGTGTTGTAAGGTGTTGAATTTGTTGTAAAGTGCTAAATGTGTTGTAAGGTGTTGTTTGTTGTAAGTGCTAATGTGTTGTAATGTTGATTGTTGTAAAGTGCTAAATGTGTTGTAAGGTGTTGATTGTTGTAAAGTGCTAAATGTGTTGTAAGGTGTTGAATTTGTTAAGTGCTAAATGTGTTGTAAGGTGTGAATGTTGTTGTAAAGTGCTAAATGTGTTGTAAGGTGTTGAATTTGTTGTAAAGGTGCTAAATGTGTTGTAAGGTGTTGAATTTGTTGTAAAGTGCTAAATGTGTTGTAAGGTGCTGTAAGTGTTGTAAGATGTTGCAATGTATTGTATCTGTGGTAATGAATTGTTAGTGTGGTAATGTGTTGTATGGGGAGTAATCTGTTGTACTGGTCCAATGTAAGTCAATGGGAAAAAGTGCTTGAACTTTTGTTAATATCTGAAAAAGTGCTAAAGGTGGAAGTGTGAAAAGTAATAGCAATAATGAGACGGTGAAGCCGGTCGTAACGATGTATAATTTGTTGAATTTGGTGAAAGCGTTGAAGAGTTGAAAAGTGCCAAAATCTGGCGGAAGTGGAAGAAGAAGAAGAAGAAGAAGAAGAAGAATAAACAGTAGGAGAGCATATAGTGGCTGCATAGTCTATGCAGCCACTCAATAAAGAAAACCAAAACCAATGGTTGACTGCGGAAGGTTCCGCAGTCAATCAATAATCAGCAACAGCCCTTCAGGTCACAGCAGCAGAGGTGGAGTAGCCTCTGGGTGGAGCAGGACAGGTCACAAGGTGGAGTAGCCGCTTGGTTAGGACCCTTTTCTCTGCTCTGGTCCAAAGTAAAATGCTAAATGCTTCATTAGCATTTTTCAAAAAGTTAGCATTCTTCCAGTGGATTTTCACCTGATGGTTCGGACCATGAATCCTCTCTGCTCTGCTCTGGACCAGTGCAAAACTATGCCCACTGTACTGCAGCAACATCTCAAGTAGAAAAAAGCAAGAAAAAGAAAAATTCTAAAGCACAAAACAACTTTTTCAGAGCGACTTCGGACTTGCTGCCATTTTCTAACACATTCAAAAATAAACCCGTCTGGGGCAAATGGGGAAATAGTGAATTCAAACACAAAACGCAGCATCAACATTAGTTCTAAAAAGCATTTTATGACATGAAACTGTCTTATATCTTTGTCTAGCATCCATCCATATGAAACGGGGAGATGTTGTTGTGGCGGAGTGGGAGCACACATGGTTTCCCTGCACGAGAGAGTTCGTGGAACGACGTGCCGCATATGTCGTCTCCGTGTGACATGTGGAAGAGAAGACAAGTGGCCTATTTCTGTTCACCACTGAGTCATCAAACAAAGTGAAGACAGTGGAGAGAGCGCTGCGGGGGGCACCTCTACACTGATCACTCTAAAGACAAAGGCGGTGATTAATACTGAGCCTGGAAGGTGACGAGAGAGTCAGCTAAAAGAAAGCATTTCATTTGGGATTCATTTGAGTTGCAGAGTCCACTCTCGGTTTACATGCAGATCCAATAGGTTTAACCAGTGAATAACACAGACAACCACACATTTGGAAAACAAAAGCAGGTGTTGAGGCTTGTGTCTGTCATAGCAACATAGCAAAGGTGCAGTACATTAGCCTAGCGTGGAAGGCATGTGAGATAGCTACCCGCGACTCGGCCCACATCTCCCGCCCGTTCTACCTGCTGGTCTTGGAGCTCATGGATCTGCCCTTCACACCTGCATGCAGTTCTCTTTGTTCCCATCTTGTTGCGTGCCTTCTCTCACTGGGAAGCACCATGTTTGTTGTGGATACGTTTTTTCCATGTGCTGGTATTGAAGCATCTCTTCTCCAGGGGAGTCTCGGCCCCAAAGAGAGAGGAGCTAATGTACATGTTTTTAGAGGCACCCAGAGAAATCCTACACAGACACAGGGAGAAAATGCAAACCCCACTCAGAAAGGCTGTCAGGAGGTGGAAGGAAATGCCTGAGCTTCTTGCCGTGAAGAGAGAGAGAGAGACTCAGCCCATTTGCAGCTTTCACATGGAAACAAACAGGATTTTTTTTTGCTCTTTGCTCAGGTCTCTTTACACAATATGCATTGAAAAGATTTCGTATGAGTTTTAAGTTCTTCTTTCCATCAAATAAGCAGGTGATTTTCTACCTCCAGAAAGTTATTTTTACATTATCGTTATGCACAGTTTATGGACTCATTGGAGATAAATGACGCTTACCGGTGCTAATTTATGGTCTCAGCTAATGAGGTGGAAAAGATATTTCTTCTGTGGAGATGTGTGAAAATCATCTCTTTATTTACAGAAATATATAGACGGCTTTATACTTAAACCGAAGCAGATTCTCCATACCGTTTCATAAAGTCTGAAAAGGGTTTTTAAACAGTCAGAATCAGGATGAAGGGTCAGCACCAAGGACAGCAGCATTAGAAGAGTTTTCACATACAGCTGGTAAATTATTGTTTGAAAGAAAACAAAGAAAGGGGAAATCAAACAGCTCTAGGACATTTAAATCACAACTCAAAAATAAATGTATAATTATGTGCATATTGGAAATGAATCATCCACGCTCAGGCTTTGATTGACTGTTTTTGGTTATAGGTGACTTCTATGCTAATCATTACAAGTTCATATAAGACAGATCTGGAACAAGAAGCACATTTGGCAGCTGTCTCCGCTGACTCTGTAGCTGTCAACAATATTTATAGAGGTTAGTGAGTGATTCTCTGCGACAGTGAGGAGTTGTCACCGATAAAGATGGAATGGAATGTGTTGGTATCGTCAAATCTCCGCCTGCTCCAAACAGTGATTTATGCTCTGCGTTTGGACTACAGTATATAGGAATAGTTCAATGTGTGCAGAATATACTAGATGGATAGAAATATGTTTATGTTGATTTTAAGAATAGGATATTTCCTGAGGCCAGAGCAGAGCTGACATAGAAACGGCAGTGGCCTTTATCAGCCTCTCAGCTTCAGGCTCTTTGTCAGATCAGGGCACATGTGTTTCTGAATTCTCAAAAGACGGCATAGCTTTATTAGTCGTGTACCAGAGACTAAATTCCATCCCACAGATGCCCCCCTGTGCAGGCCAATACAGTAGTTCGGTAGCCCACTTAGCCTCTCTTAAAAAGGGGAAAGCCCATGGTGATCTCTCAGTTATTTCCGAGGACAAGCACTGCTCGAGAAGTCATTTTTAGACCAGGGGTGAAATCATCCATTGGACCACTGCAAAATGAACTGTATTATGGATTGGGGTAAGTAAGAATAAGAATCTTTATTTATATAGCACATTTCACAGACCAAGGTCACACACGGTGATGACAGAAGGCGAATACATTGGCGCATAAAAATAAAAATCCCAAACCATCACCATTCATTCATTCTCACATTACACAATCCTATTGTACATGTTTTAGTTTTGGGCACCCGGAAGAAACCTACGTAGACACAGGGAGAAGAAACCTATGTAGACACAGGGAGAAGAAACCTATGTAGACACAGGGAGGACATGCAAACACAAGTGGAATCCCTGCAGCTTTTAGTGATGTGGCTAATATGTGTATTTTTACCATGGATCTATTATAATAACTGGATAGGGTATTACTAGCTCATAGCTGTCCCTCCCATGGGCACCCACGGTTCTACAGGCTAAATTAAAGTGGGCTACCCTGAAAACATGTCCCATAGAACTCACGGCAAACTAAAACAGCTCGACCTCAGCTGACAGAGAACCTACAGCTTTCAAAAAAGACAGATTTTCAGATTCAGTTTATTTGCCATTTGCAGTAGAAAAACCACATTGGAATACATTAGCAAAAAGTCTCCAGTGTGCACAAACAAATAAAGACATAAAACAACATTAACAGACAGAAAAAAACCACACAAAAAAACAGTAAACAATTGACACTGTGAAATCGATCGACTAAAACAGTTTCAAAACAAGTGCAAATCATTAAAGTGCTCTGTTCAGACTGATAACAGCCTGTGGATAAAAACTGTTAGCGTAACGAGATGTCCTGCATCTCAGAGAGCGATATCTTCTGCCAGAGGGAAGAAGCTGGAACATGGCTTTCCCAGGGTGGCCAGAAGAGT